GCCCTCAGGAGTGGGGCGAGGCCACCATCACTTTTTGAGGCATTTCTGATGTTGGGGCGTGGCCAAGCCGACCTTCCCCTGGGGGTCTTGAGAACAGCACAGGCTACGGGGAAGCCCTGCCCACTTCCTTGTGCATGGGGTGGTTCTGAGGGGTTCTGGGCCCCTGAGGAAGGTCACACGTGTGGATGAAGGTGGGGCTGAGTGGCCACACATAGGCCAGGGAGCAGGACAGTGGCTGGAGCTCGGCAAGCATGGGGTGCATGGCTGGACCCATGGCTTTCACCAGGCATTGCCCTTTAGCCTCACTCAGATCCTCTCAAGGAGCCATGTGGTGCCATTTTATAGCGGAAGCAAAGATCAGAGAGGTTAGGTGCCTTGTTGAGGTTGCTCAGCACTGATTTCCTTTCCTTCTTGCCCTGGCCCCCATTTCCCTATGGGGTAGACTGTGCTCACCTCCCACATAAGCGATTTGGGCTTAGATGCTTGGCTCAGGACGTGTCTCTAGGGGACACCAGGGCCTCAGGCTGTCAGGAGACCCTGGCAGTGTCCCTGTGGAGCTGGCACTGATTTTCCAGGATGCCTGCCTCCCTCAGAGTGGCTAGGGCTGGGCCCAGTGTCTTCTCAGAGCAGCGTGCCCTGCCATGAGGGCACAGTGGCCCGGGATCCTTAGCAGTCATTGTCAGTCACCTGCTGTGATAGTCAGGAGAGAGCTTTCCTCTCTGACAGACACACACCCTGAAGAGTTGGGGGTCCCTTAGGGCAGGGCTGAGGAGCTCCAGGGGGCCCCTGCCCCGCCACCTCTGGCTCCCCACAATGCCTGAGCTTCTCTGTAGGTCTTGACCACCTTCTGGCCCTTGGGTCATGCCAACTCCTGAGGCTGCCCGGTGTCCCTGCCGGCCCTCCACAGGCCTTGGCTCATGCCCCGGCCCCACATACCCTTCCCGCTCTGCCTCTCACACTGCCCTTCTCCCTGCTCTATTTCCCCAATACTGAGTCACTTGTCATTCCCAGGAGCCCCCCCCCCGCCTCCTGCCTTGGCATGGCTTTGGGCTCTCCAGGGAGCCAGGCTCGTTGATTCAGAGGCCACTCAGCATTTCCTGTCTCAGGAACTCTGGATTCAGGAAGCCTCTTCCCTTCCTGTAACCAAACAACCACCTGGGCTGATCTTGGGATGCTGCACAGTCCCTCTTGCCCCCAGGGATGGCTCTGCATTCTGATGGGCACCTGGGCTGACTCAGGGGAAGGCAGAGTCCCCGGCCTGCACCCTGGTCTCTGGGTTCTCTGCCCACCTGGACAGTGATCCAGGTGCAGGGCCCAGCCCCGGGATGAAGTTTCCAACGGTCTGCAGCATCTCCGTTGGTGCTGCTCCAGTGTGAGCCATTCAGGCCTTCCAGGGGTGTGACAAAGGCCAGGGTACGGGGAGGAGGGCTTGGGGGGCCTGACCTCAAGTTCAGACATATGGGTAGGTGAAGGCCTCTTGGAGATGCACTCAGATGACCCAAAATGGCAGGGCCACTTCGGCAGCAGCAAAACCAACCAACCAACTACACCAAACCCCGCACAGATGTGGTGAGAAGCAACACAGTAGTATGTTCAGGAACTTTGGAGTCAGACTATGGGGTTCAGATCCAAGCCTTGTAATAGATTTGTAACAAATCTATTGTAATAGATTGTAACGAATTGCTGTATGGCCTTGGGTAACACCCCTAAGCCTCACTGTGCCTTGCTTTCCTCAGAACCGCAGGATGGGGGCTGCAGGGACAGCTCAGTGGTGGAACATGAAGCCCTGGGTTAGATCCCCAGCAGAGAGAGAGAGAGAGAGAGAGAGAGAGAGAGAGAGAGGCTTAAAATGGAAATAATGTTTATGCCTACCTTATGGTGGGTGTGAAGGATTAAAGGAGTTAATTCATGCTGTACCCCAATGTTTAGAGCAGTGCAGGAGTAAACTGTATTACTATGATCGGGAAAAGGGACAAAGAAATGGATCCATTTGTACCACAGAATACTGTACAACATTTAGAAAGGAGGAGCGTTAATGGAGGTAGCAGCTCAGTTTGAGTGCAGAAGAATGTTTCAGATTAAAATTATCTGAATCTGTTTTCTGTCGCTGTAACAGAACCCTGGAGACCTCATGATATACGGAGAGCAGTTTTATTTGGCTCGTGGCTCTGGAGGCTAGGAAGTTCCAAAAGACTAACCGCCTGCCTTCGGTGAGAATCTTGGGCTGCGTCATAGCCCAGTGGAAGAGGGGGAGAGGCAAAGTTCAAGGGCTGCCTCAGTTTACCACAGCCCGCTCTTGTGGTCCCACAAGTGTGAGAACAGCCTCCCCCGCACCCCGGGAATCACCCTCGTCTCTCCAGCGCGTAGCAATCCCTCCTAACAATTGAGCACCCTCTTCAAGGCCTGTCCCCTCTCAACACGGTTAACCTGGGAAGCAAATGTCAGCATGGGTTACGGAGGGAGGGAAGTGTACCCCCCACCCCTGCAGCAGGCACAGGTCAGAAACCCTTGACGATGCCCATGTGTTCCAGATGTGATCGACGAGGGCCAGATCTGGGTCTGAATGCTGGTCACAGTTTGGTGGGGATGTGTGAAGGTGGTGGCGGCGGTGGGGTCTGGGAGAGGGATTTCAAATTGGTGGATGGCAGGGGACTTCGCCGTCTCTGCGATGATTTAGTTATTCATAAGGAGGGTGTCATTACTCACATTTTCAGAAAGAGATACTGACTGTTTGAGAAGGGTCTGAGGGGTCAGTCCTGCCTGGGAAGACCTGGGCAGGGGCACGGAACGTACCAGAATCTCCATGAGGAACGATGGGGTTGGAAAAGCACTTCTGTATTAGAGAATCATTACAGGGTAATTTAATATTTAGAAAAGTGGAAGGAAATTAGCTACATTTCTTGGGATAGAAGCAGAGGGAAGTACAGCTGGACAAAATCCTCCAGACGGCTGGGGCTAGGGCATGAGAACACAGAAATCCTGGCCCACTGGGGCTAAGCAGGGTTCTTAGCATGCAGCTGGTGTAGGAAGGTGGGGTGGGATCCCTGGAGGGGCCGGGGCCGGACAGGCCTCACAGCTGAGCGCAGGACCCCGTCTGGTCTGCCCCGGCCCTGCACTGCACATTGTCTCTGCAGCAGGGAGCGGGGACCTGGACGCTGAGCACCAGGACTCCACGCCTCTCTCTGCCACAAACTTCCTTTGATCATTTTTTATTCTCCGTAACAAGCAGAGCTCCATTTTGCTGAACACTTACAGTGTGCGAAATACTTCACGAGCTGCATCTCATTAATCTTGCAATAACCCCTGAGCCGGGTCATGGTAGATTGATTGCAGAAATAGATCCAATCAATTCCTCTTCCTCCCCCGCACCCTTGCACCTTTGCTCTGCGGGGTAGAGCTTCCTGGGGAGGGGCAGGATCCACTCCTCCACCCCCTGGCTCTGGGCTGGTCTGTCACCCGCTTTGGCCAGTGGAATGTGGCCAAGCGACACCGCGCTGGTCCCAAGCCTTTGCCTCCAGAGGCCCTGTCCACTTCCAGTCTCACTCTTGCACCTTTCTGGCTGATATGGGAATGGCCCTGGAGGATCAGAGACACTGGCCTGGCCACCATAGTCACGTGACTGGGTCACCACACAGGCCAAGCTGCTAGCTGACTGCAGAAGAACAAGCAATAAAGAGAAAGCTGTTTTGTTTTGTTTTTTTCCTTTAAAACCTTCTGTATCTTGGGGGTAGTTCGGTAGGCATCCTGATTTGCAGTAATAGACAGGCAAGGAAGCTGGATCTCAGACAGACTGAGTGGCCCGTGGTGGCCCAGCGGGGCTGGACCCTGGGTGGCCACACTCAGAACCACGGACCCACCTGGTGTGTGCTGTGTCCTGTGCCTGTGCCGGTTTTGCCACCAGCACAGGAGTAAGGTTTTGCATCCTGTCCTGCCTGTTTCTCCTGCTGCCTTTCAAGGCTCCAGAGAAAATTCACCCATGAAGCCCCTCTGGGGTGGCTCCATCGGCCCCCACCCTGCCCCACCCCTCATTTCCAGCTTGAGAAAAAGCCCCTGCTTGATTTGGTTCTGCAGGTCAGGCTGTCCCCAGGGAATCCAGTTGGCAGAATATGGGACTTTACTGAGTAATTATAGGATTAGGCATCCCCCTCGAAATTAAATGCTACCTCTTTACCTTCCAGAGAAGAATCCCACCCCCCACCCGCTACCGTGTAATTATCTGGTGAATTACTCTACGGAGGTCTCGTGGTAATTATGCAAGGAGTCAAAAGCCAGCAATTCCTCCAGTCATTACAGCCGAGGAATTAGCTTTCATTGTGCAAGCCTGCCGTGTCACAGCGGAGGGCCGGGGCCCAGCGCTCTGTCCTCCAGCACGGGACCAGGCCCCCAGCCTCTCTTCCCAGCTGCCCGAGAGACTCTGAGCAGGAGAGGGTATCCAGGTCACACCCCAGGGCCACCTTGACCCCAGGTGGGATGGCTGTCCCCTCTGGGTCTCCAGAGCCCGCTGCAGGGCTGCCTCTTGGTGTGGAAACAGCAGGAGTCTACTTCCTTCCTGGACTCCATCTCCTTTCAGGGTTTAGAGGGCGTGGGCTACATCCGACCCATCCCTGCACCCCTGGTGCCTGGCAGAGATCCTGGCATAGAATGAGTGCCAGAAAATGCTAGTTTAATCAAGAAAGAGTGTGCATCAATGAACTTGCAAGTACCTGATGAGTGATATAATTATTGACAGCCATTCATTCCAAGCACGTTCCGATTACACTCTGACATGTCCCTCAGATGAAGCAGGATGCTAGATTTAGCTCCTCAAATCTATGTGCCTATGTTCTGCCTCAGTTTCCCCATCTGTATGAGGGCTGGTTACCCTAGAATAATGGATTTGAGGCAGGCTTTAGGGGTGCAAGCCTGTAATCCCAGCACGTGGGAGACTGAGGCAGGAGGATTGCTTCAAGTTTGAGGCTAGCCTGGGCTACAAAGTAGTTCAAGGCCAGCCTGTCCTCCACTATGAGATCCTGTCTCGAAAACAAAACAAAACAACCCCCAAAATGAAACATGAATTTGTACCAGCATCTGGCACAGAGCGAGTGCTGAGAACTGTTTGCTTCCAAGAGGATGATGTGTTGTCCGGATGTGCTCAGCATGGCGCCTTGAGTCCTGAGCAGAGAGGGTGTGCATGGGGGGGCAGCAGCTCCCTGAAAAGTGCGAGTTGAGGGAGAAGGGAGTTAGGTGTGAGATTGTGGGAGGTGGAGCTCACCACTTCCTCCAAGAGGTGCCTGGCTGATTCAGAGGGACCCCGTGGGCTCTACCCTTCTGCTTCCCTGTTTCCTGGCAGAGCCCCTGGGTGAGACCCGGAGGTCTCAAGCAGGCCCCAGTGAGACTGCAGGCAGGCTTGGTCACCATAGTGGCATGAGGCCAGGTGACACGGGTGAGGGTCACAAGCATGGTGCCGGAAGAAAGGAGGAAAGCATGGGAATTGGGTGGGGAGCAGACCAACACTGCTCCCATGAGTCAGGGTCTGGCATACCCGGCTGGGAGCCCTGTCTCGTCTCTGCTGCCTGGTGGCCTTGTGGCTTTACCTCTCTGAGCCCTGGGGTGAAGAGCTGTGCCAGTCTCCGAAGGCTGTTGAGAGAATCTAGGCTGCTAACATGTGCAATCCAGAGAAAACGCTCAGTGGATTCTCTGCAAAATACAAATGCACCAGGCATCTCGGCCACCCTCGATCTGACTCATCAGCCTCCCTCCTATCCCCTCTCTCTCAGCCCCACCTCACCCCATCCTAGGGCTGGGAGAAGAGAGCTGCCACCTGTGCAGGGCAAGCTGTGGCTGGACTCCTGGTACCCGGTTTGTCTTCGCCCTTTGGGCCACAGCCCTCACCCCACATGACATGGGTGCCCGCCTGGAGCTGGGTGCTGTCTGTCACACAGCCGAGCACTTGGGGGCGGCGTCCTGGTGCGCATGGGAGGCCGGTGTGGAAGAGGACAGCCTGGCTTCGTTCCAGCCTCCCCTGCCCTGGCCCTCTCCCCTCCCCTGCCGCTCACCTGTCAATCTCTTCCTCTCCTCTCCGCTCCTCTCCTCCGGAGCGGACCGTTCAGAGCTCGCCCGCGGTCTGCGAATGGCAGTCTGAGGCTCCCCGCTGGGCCTCGCTCCTTTTCAATCGCTCTCCTTTCCTTCCACCGCTCCATCACTGTAGCGAGGCCGAGACACGGGCTGAATGAGGCGGCCGCTCAATTCGAGCCTGCTACAAAGAGAGTATTTTGATGTTTTCATTTCTTTCTAGTTCAATAATTTGAGAAAACACGCAGACTCGGTGCTGGTTCCAACAGGCTCTCTAACTACTTTTTAAAACTTGTGTTGGTTAACAGTGCAAGGGGGTGGGGAGGGATCGCGGGTGGGATCGTGGGGCGGGTGCTGCTTTGTACACACGGCTGGCTTCTTCCTCTCGTCTTCTCTGCCCTCTGTGCTTGCTACTCCCACAAACCAGTGGACGCTCCAAGTCTGCGCCACCCAGGGAACAGAGAGCAACCCCGGTGCGTGTAACCTTGGTCCGGTCGGCCGGGCGCTCTCCGCGGTCCTGAAAGCGGCCGGACAAAGGCTCCCTTTGTCTCACGCGTGCTGCAGGCAGGTTTTAGCGTATCTGAGGTCCTGGTATTCATTCTTTTATCTGACAGCCGTAGGCTGAACTCCTAACTTAGGGCTTCATTGTGCGAGGTAATTGGGACTCATCTTTAAAATAAAGAAACGAGGCCACTGCCTTCGACCAGCTCAAAACCTTGCGTGGCTGGCCAGCCGTGAGTCCAGCAGGGGCGTTGTGACTCACAAATGCCTGGGCCGTGGGGGCCTGGAGGCCTTCCTGGAGGAGGAGATGTCTCCGTTGATGTCTAGGGATCATTAGGATGCAGCCAAGTAGGGATGGGAGAGGAGAGGAAAGGGGGCGTAAAAATGATTAAGATGTGTGATGTTCATGAATCAACTCCCCACGATGAATGTGATCATTCTGTACTGTAAACATGGACTAATAAAAATAAAGATAAAAAATGATTTAAGCCAAGTGAAGAGAGAAACTAAAGAGCATTTCAGAGGAAAGGAGCAGGTTGTCCAAAGGCAGAAGTGAGGATTTTGTATGGGTCCAGGGTGAAGCCCTTGACCAACTCTGCCCGTTAGGCAAATAACACTCCCTTTTATGTTTCTGTTTCCCAGCTACAAAATATCCCACAGCTAAGAGTGTGCTACACGTTCATGGGGTCATCCCAGGCTCAGAACAGCTGCTGGAACAGAGGAGATACAGTACAAGCTGCTCTAACAGGCACAGGGGCTGGGCGGTGTGGGGAAACTGGGGTAGCAGGCAAGTGGGAGGCCACAGAGAGGGCTCCAGGGCCTTGTTGGGTGCCAGATTCTACTGGGAACCCTCAGAGGGCTGGCTGTGTGGAGGACAGCCTGTGTGTGAGACTGGGGTATGTGTGCATTTTGAGGGTGACCAGGGCCTGCTTCCCAGGCAGCTGCGTGGGGTGGAGGAATGCAGCCAAGACCACCCCCAATGCTGAGCTCTGGACAGGTGGTGGTGGTGTGGGACATCCATGATTGTGGCCAGGCATCTTTTAAAGACAGTCTTTATTTTTCACATCCTTTCTTCTTGGTTCTCTCACCCTAGGTTCCCCAAAGAAAACCCCATTAATGACATTTCCCTCTGCATCTTTCTCTGGCACCAAACCCTACACAGGCATAAGTAGATAGATGCACATATACATGCTTGGAGTATTTTGCCTGTTGTTTCATAAAGATGGGATTGAGCATTACACACTTATCTCCAAATTACTTTTCTTGTCCAACAATACTGTGCAGAAATTCCATGCAGTCCATTGGTAGAGAGTTAATTACATCTTCTATAGGTCGCCTAATGCTCTGCTGTGTGGCTGTGTCACCACCTGCCTCCACCCCAGCCCCCTCCACTGGCTTCTCCTCCACTGCTGAGGGCCCAGGCCGACCCACCCGTCCAGCATAGCCCTGGCCCCTCTACTGGCTCCTACTTCCTGCTGCTCCCAAGCCAACAATCCTACTAGAAGCACCAGGGAGAAACAGGGCCCTGGCCACTGCTCAGGGTCCCCCAGGAAGGCTCTGGTCACCTGCAATCTGAGTCACAGCTCTGTGCTCTCTGCTTCCCCTCTGGCCAGCTCTGATCCCCCCTGGGCTTTGACTTCTTGGGAAGTTGGTGCTCTGCTTCTCCATTCATACCCGTCTTCCACTCCAGGGCAGGGCAGGGAGGTGGCCAGTGACACAAACAGGGTGGCCTTTCTGGTCCCCAGACTCTTGGAGGCCACTCACTCCTAAGGCCCTTCTTGAAAGGCCTGTTTGAGACTCATCAGCCCCACCCCGAGGGATCAAAGGTCACAGGCCATCAGCAGTCCATAGAGAAGGATGTCCCCAAATCAGGGCATGTGAGGACCCATTATTATTATTGTTGTTGTTATTGTTGTTACTACGGTGCTGGGGCAGAACCCAGGGCCTGCTGGATGTTAGGCAAGTGCTCCATCCACACCCAGTTGGAACTTTTTATTTCAGTGGTCTTCTTTACTCTTAAGGTTACCTGGCTCCATTGGCCCAGACATGGGGTGTCTAAGGGCGAGGGCCTCTGGGCCTTCTTTGTGGGTTAGGGTACTAGTTGGAGAGGAGCCTGGAGGAAGGAAGGACCTGTGAGGCCGGTGAGAACGGGGCAGCCAGACCCTAGGGCGAGCGTGTTGCACACTCCTGGCTGTGAGCGTGGCAGCCTCTGCTTGAGGACGCCCCCCGCTTCCCTTTTCTTTGCTTTGAAAAGCTATTGAATTCTGGGACAATCCCATAAAAATCTGTATTTCCTGGCTTCTCCAGAAAAAGGTGAACACTCAGCAAATCTGGCCGGGGCTCCAGCAAGGGGGGCTCAGCCGGGAGTCGCGTCTCCTGCTGCGCTTTGGCCTCTGGCCACCTCCGGTGGCGCCCCTCCCCCACCCATTTCACAGACCGGGATCCTCGGGGCAGGGTGGGAGGGGGCGTCCTCCAAGGGCTGAGGCCAGGCTGAGCTCTCGGGACTCATGTGTCC